TGTGTATATATGAACCTCTTAGATTTAAGACCACTGATTCATTGAGCTCCCAAACCCCCCTAAAATAATGGGCTCTAACCAATTTTCTAAAACTTAGGAATAGTTCTAGTTTCTTCCAACACTTTTGATTATGACCAAGACATTACTTTATGGTAAGTAATGAAAAAGCCAAATATATATTCCCTGTTGACAGAATGAACCTGTGGTTAGCAGCCGCCGCCCTCAGGGAGCAGCGAAGGGGATTGAAGGGTCCTCAGAGCCTGAAGAGTTCCTTAGTGGGATTCCTCAAACAAGTTGTTTGACGAAGCTGACCCTTGATTTCTCCATTACATGGTGTACTCCATTATGTAATATTGGGGCTGCCCCAAACAGTGGATCCTAAACACACTTTAGAGAATTGCTTGTGGGGGATTTTTTAAATTTTTGAGTCTTAATTCTTTTTTTTATTGGCTTTAGTAATTTTTTTGTTAATTTCTAAAGTGAATACTTTTTTTTTTTTTTTTTTTTTTTGTGAGGGCACTGTTCCATGATGCACGCAGGATCTCCTCAGAAGCTATTTCTTTCTTTCTTTCTTTCTTTTTTTTTTTTGCTGAGGAAGATCAGCGCTGAGCTAACGTCTGTTGCCAATCCTCCTCGTTGTTTTGTTTTTGTTTTTTTTTGCTGGAGGAAGATTAGCCCTGAGCTAACATCCGTGCCAGTCTTCCTCTACTTTATATGTGGGTCACCGCCACAGCGTGGCTGACGAGTGGTGTGAGTCCATGCCAGGGATCCGAACCCGTGAACCCAGGCCGCTGAAGTGGAACACGCTGAACTTAACCACTATGCCATGGGGCTGGCCCCAAAAGTGAATACTTTTTAAAAACTTTAAAATACCTAATTTGAGGCGTACAAAATGATGTTAATGAAAAAACATCCTTCTACCCACCTACCCACGCAACTTAAGAAATAAAGCATTTCCAGTGCCATAGGGAACCCTGTGTTTGCCTCCGTGGTGGCGTCCCCGCCCCCCTTGTGGTAACTCTACCCTCCTGGAGTTAGTGTTTTTATCCCCATTCATTTACTACACAAGGATGTTTTCCTAAGCAATGCGAAGTACTGGTATATTCATTTCCCAGGTCTGCTGTAGCAAAGTACCACAGACTGGGGTGACTTAAACAGAAGTATATCGGCTCATAGTTCTGGAGGACAGCAGTCCAAAATCAAGATGGCAGCAGGGTTGGTTCCTTCTGAGGGCTGTGAGGGTGTCTGTTCCTTGCGTTTCTCCCAGCTTCTGGTGGTTTGCTGACCATCTTTGGCATTTCTTGGCTTGAGGATACATCCCCCTGTTGTCTGCCTCCATCTTCACATGGCGTTCTCCCTGTGTGCTCGTATCTCTGTGTCCAAATTTGTCAAATTTCTCCTTTACGTAAAGACAGTCGTATTGGATTCGGGGCTCACTGGACTCCAGTATAACCTCATCTTAACTGATTACATCTGCAGTGACCCTATTTCTGAATAAAGTTACATTCTGAGGTGTACTGGGGGCGGGGTGGGACTTCAATATATGAACTTTGGGGGAACATGATTCAACCCATAACAATCGCTTTTGTGCATATTCAAGCTTAGTTCAGTTGGCATCATATTGTATCTATTCTGCAACTTGAGTTTTCAAGAAGGAAACCAATTCCCAGGCCCCGTCCTCCCAAAGACACATGTGCTAGGATAGAGGGGAGTCAGCTCGTGAGCCCCCAGGTCCAGGCTCTTTTGGAGCCAGCCTGGAAGGGGGAGATGGGCAGCCATGGCAGCCAGACCGCATGGCTCGAGCTCAAATCCTTGAGAAGTTATTTGTCCCATTGGAGCCTCACTTTCCCTGCGAAAAATGGTTATCCTGGGCAAAAGTGGTGACATACGTTGGGTGTGTAGCACATAAATAAACACGTCTCCCCACCTGAGCCTGGGTCTCTGTCACTTGGGATCTCAGCTCGCATTATTCCTGGAAGGTGCACAATCTTTCTATATATATATATATATATATATTAATATATATATATATATATATATATATTAGATCATTTGGATTAGCTGTTTCCAGAACATACTATAAAAAATTGATATATAAAACAAAATATGTACCACTTCACACCTGCTCTGATACCTTAACCTGGAACTCAGAGGAATCGCTTGCGTGGAGTACAGGTGTTCTCCCATCACAGAACTGATGGATTCCCAGAGATGTTTGCAAATGAAAATCCCATGTACCAAATCCTGCTTCCCTGTCGACTTTCAGCGTTGAATATGAGGTTCTTTCCTTTTAGAAACACCTCTGCACAAAGATAGGATGAAGGCAAAAATTCAGTCAAACATATAAAGAAACTCCAGGCTGGAATCATTGTCCCTGTGTTTGTGGGCATCAGGATAGATAAAAGGCGGGAAAGAAGCAAGAACTTCTGTGTAGGGTTCTGCCGGTGGCTGGTCCCTGGGCCCCCCCAGGCAAGAGAGTTGCAGGCCTCTTTGAATAAACACAGAAATCTCCCTCCCTCCCCTAGAAAGGCCAGACTTCCTTATTTAGGGTTTGTTTACATGTGTCTGGCGTTTGTTGGTCAAGTTTCTGTAACCAGGCAACTGAGAGGGAGAGTTGAGAAGACAGCAATGCATAGAATCTCATCAGTGTCGATTTTATGTAACATCTACTCCACTCCCATCCTAATTTGTCAGAGTCCTTACAGTGAAATCGCGTTATGTTGAGTTGGTATTTAAGAAGGAGATTATTGGGCCGGCTCCGTGGCTTAGCGGTTAAGTGCGCGCACTCTGATGCTGGCGGCCTGGGTTCGGATCCCGGGAGCGCCCCGAGGCACCACTTCTCCGTCCAACGTGAGGCCGAGTCCCACGTACAGCAACTAAAAGGATGTGAACCTATGACATACAACTGTCTGCTGGGGCTTTGGGGGGAAAAAAACTGAATAAATAAAATCTTTAAAAAAAAAAATAAGAAGGAGATTATTGCACTTTCTTCTCGTGATTGTGTGTATCCTGCACTTGGTTGGAGTACCCCACAAGGATATTTTCAAAAGAGGAGGGGAGAGAAGAAATGCCTAATGTTTAAGTGTTCATTTTGGGGTTGTCATATATGTTTATCTCAAATCCTAAAGTTTGGGTTAAGCAAACATTTATTGAGCTCCCACCAGGTAGAAAGAGCACCTGCTCCTCAGCCTGTTAATGTCTGCTTTCTAGTTTAAAAAGGAAAAAAGAAAGAAAACACGTCCTTTGATCTTGCTTCCCCTACAAGCATCTGCTTTCTCTCCCTTTTACCACCACCAAACTCATTAAAAATAAATCCTATATTCTGATAGGTGAATCATTCTTCAACTCCTCCCAATCTGGCTTCTCTGCTAGAAGTTGCCAGTAAATTCTCTGTTGCCAAGTCTTAATTTAGTTGTCGTCATCTGTGTGTACAAGAAAGTGGGTATGGAGGGGAGAGGGGAAAGATGGAGGGGTGATGACCTTGCAGTGGGGGAGACAGCTGGTTCTCCGGTAGATCTGCTCTTTGCCTCGCCGACCAGGGATAGACCCAGAACGTCCCAGCCCACCTTCACAGGTGCAGTGAGGGACGAGTGCCCTGGAACCATGGTGTTCCTGGTCCTAGCAACCTGAGCTCATGGTGAGAGTCCTGCCCCTCTGCTCTGGAGCCAGCAGACCCTGTTCCTGTCAGTCCTTCCATCTCCACCAACTTCTCTCTTCATCCCATCCCCATGTATCAGTTGTATTGGTAAGGATGGGTAAGGATGCTTTGGGCTGCAAGTAAGAGAATCTCCAAGGGAACATTTATCTCCTCGGATAGTGGGAAGGCAGGGTGTTGAAGGTGACACTTTCCTGAAGGTGTTAGGAGAATCCAGGTCACATCCTGAAAGTGGACTTCTTTCACGCCTCTGCCCCCTAGAGGCAGAATTCAGACCCTCTCGGATTGTTCTCTGGCTTTCAGCCAACTGTATGTTCTACAACCTTTAAGGAAGAGGCGATTTTCCTTGCTGTCATTGTTGGTTGTCTGAAGCAGGGGCCTTGCCCATAAAAGGACTCAATAGTGTTGATTTGTGACGTAGCAGGTTCATGGTGGTTTGAAAGATGAAACTGGTTAGTAATCAAGGCCTTTAGTTAAGCAGTAAGAAACTTGAATTGCCAGCTCCAGCGCCAAAATGGCCCTGTTGGTTTTTGCCTGAGTTATGGCAGTCTGGCTTTGATGGGTAAGAGTCTGTTGGCCTGTGTCTTATGGGGGTTAATTGTGTTGTCTGGGCAATTTTAAAGAAGCAGATTGTGGCAGGGTGCCTTCCCCACCCAGTCCTAAGCTCGCCTCGTGATCAGGGATGGAGAAAAGCAGGGACTGAGCCCTGAGAATGTGTTTCAGCCCGCACAGGTGTTTGCCAGCAGCTCCTCCTAAAACTGGATGGATCGTGGGTTGTTTTCCTTGCTTCCTTCTGAGTATAGCATGGGAGATGGATGTCCATTTCCAACTCAGCATGGAAAGTGGAAAAATTCAATAAGTGGGTCCTTGTAAGCATATTAAATATTTCCTC